CCCCCTCCCCTGTAGCGTGGCCGAGCTGCACTCCGGTCCGCGGTGGCCGGCCGGAGTGATAGGAAGGTGCACACTGAGTGTGCACTTCATGTCAGTCCGGCTGGTTACAGGAAACAGAAACATCGCGCGGAACAGGAGTTTCTGCTTCCTGTCACCGGCCGGACTGACAGGAAGTGCACACTCAGTGTGCACCTTCCTATCAGTCCAGCCGGCCACCGAGGACCGGAGTGCTGCTCGGCCACGCTACAGGGGAGAAGCTGCAGCCGCCTGACCGCTCTTCACAGAGTGCTCAGGCGGCTGCAGTATTTAAAGGGCCGGCCCCAGGTGCCGACGGCCCACCGGGAAATTTCCTGGTATCCCGGTGGGCCAGTCCGGCCCTGATGTTATCTCACATATATATTATTCTTATTCTTATTATAGCCAAATTTGCCACCCTAACACAGTTTTTACACTACATAGACAAAAAGTTACCAAAACGTGCAGATTGTTCCCGATCGGATTGCTATTACTTTGTGGAACGTTTACGACCGTTTGAAGATGGCAACCGCCAAAATACTCTGACCTGTGCCAGGCGGCAGCAGCAAGTGATGTCATAGACAGGGCCTTTTAAACACCTGCTAATGTTTTTATAAATGTATGGTTTAATGTAACTGTGCAACAACGTTGCAATTAAATGTGCTATATAAATGAGAACAGTTACTCCGCCCACTCCAGTTGTAGACTACTGGTGGAGACAAGAACACTTCACACAATTTCCCCAGAAATTGTAGCTTTTCTAGTATTCAATGAAATACTTCTCATACAGAGCCTTTGAATGGTGGTTTCAGTGGGGAAGCCACTGCAAGACCAGTACGTTGCTGTGTATAAGGTAAAGTAAAGCTTACCTTTAACACTATTACAGACATCCCAACATGCAAAACCTCATTTGAAGGAGGTGGTTTCACCAGCTACTGTGCCCCTCTCCCCCCCACACACACTGACACACAGATACACATATACACACACTGACACATACACACACCCTGGCTCATACACACATGCACTGGCACATACACACATGCACTCAGATACACATTGACACATACACTCAGATATGCACACATATACACACATTGGCATATACACACAATGACACACAGATACACAAACTAACAAGACAACACTGTGACACATCTGTGAGATTTCTACTCCATGGGCTGCAGCTCTGCACCTGGCGGAGCCTCAGACCGGAGGCAGTGGCGGACTACTCGGAGGGGATACCTAGCCTGGATACCTAGCCCACTGGACCAGCAGGGAGGAGGAGACCACTGGATCACCAGGGAGGAGGAGACCACTGGATCACCAGGGAATAGACTACACAAAAAAACTGTTACCACCACCCCCACTGTCACCACTTCCTACACTGTCACCACCTTCCACACTGTCACCACCACCCCCACTGTCACCACTTCCTACACTGTCACCACCTCCCACACTGTCACCACTTCATACACTGTCACCACCTCCCACACTTGTCACTTTCCCTCCACGGTCACCATCCCCCTCTCACTGTCACCACTTTCCACACTTTCACCCTCCCACACACACTGTCACCACCCCCCCCACTGTCACCATTCGCCCTACTGTCACCACCTCCCACACTGTCACCACCCCACACCGTCCCTATCCCCACACTGTCACCATCCCCCTACTGTCACGCTCCCACACACACTGTCATCCACACACTATCACCATCCCACACACTATCACCCACACCAGGCCCGGACTGGCCATCGGGCACACCGGGCAAATGCCCGGTGGGCCGCGGTGTCCGTGGGGCCGAGGCCGGCAGGGGAGGTCCCAGGATCTCCCCTGCCGGTCTATGCAGGGCCGGCACTCTCCGAGCGCCGGCCCCGCTGTTTGCCACGACGGGCCGGTGGGGAGATCAAGGATCTCCCTGACCGGCCCACATGCGGCCGCCGGCGGGGAGAGAGGGGAGGGAGCCAGCCAGGCTGGAGAGAGGACCCGGCGGAGCTCTAACTTGCAGCTCCGCCGGGTTCCTCTCGCGAGATCCGGCGCGTTGCCATGGCAACGACCGGATCTCGCGAGAGTGAACTCTAGCCTCACAGGCTAGAGTTCACTCACCCACGAGGACCACCAGGGAACACTGCCTCCCCGCCTCCAGTCCCAGCGTGCCGGTCCCCCCTCCCAGGCTAAAGGTAAGAAGGGAGGGGGGGGAATAATACCTGTTTTTTTATTTTTTTTATTTACCCCCCCTACATACACACAATAACATTTATACAGCACTCTCACACCCATCACACACAGCACTCTCTCTCACACCCATCACACACAGCACTCTCACTCTCACACAGCACTCTCACACCCATCACACACAGCACTCTCACACCCATCACTCTCACACCCATCACACACAGCACTCTTACACACACACAGCACTCTCTCTCACACAGCACTCTCACACCCATCACACACAGCACTCTCACACCCATCACACACAGCACTCTCTCACACAGCACTCTCACACCCATCACACACAGCACTTTCACACACACAGCACTCTCTCACAGCACTCTCTCACAGCACTCTCACACCCATCACACTCACAGCACTCTCACACACACACAGCACTCTCTCACACAGTACTCTCTCACACCCATCTCACACAGCACTCTCACACCCATCTCACACACACGGCACTCTCACACACACACCGCACCCCTCACACATGCACATACTGCACCCCTCACATACACACAGAACCCCCCCCAACACACTGCACCACACACATACACAATACTTCCATATATATATACACACACACACACACACACACACACACACACACACACACACTACACTCTTAAAGGACCACTCTAGCCACCCAGACCACTTCAGCTTAATGAAGTGGTCTTGGTGCCAGGTCCTTCTAGGGTTAACCCATTGTTTTATAAACATAGCAGTTTCAGAGAAACCGCTATGTTTATCAATGGGTTAAGCCTTCCCCCAAAGCCTCTAGCAGCTGTCTCATTGACAGCCGCTAGAGGCGCTTGCGTGCTTTTCACTGTGAAAATCACAGTGAGAGCACGCAAGCGTCCATAGGAAAGCATTACAAATGCTTTCCTATGCGACCGGCTGAATGCGCGCGCAGCCAGCCGACGGGGCGGTTCGGAGGAGGAGAGCTCCCCGCCCGGCGCTGGAAAAAGGTAAGTTTTAACCCCTTTCCAGAGCCGGGCGGGAGGGGGTCCCTGAGCCACATATGCATTACATTACACCACAAACACAACACGACTAA